AATACCTCCAACTAAGAAGCCGGGATAACTAAAAACGAACAATCACGTGAGAGGCCTAAGTAGGTGGGTCTGGCTTACAATCATTCCTCCTCCCAGGAGGGACACAGGGAGGAGCAGTTCAGCTGGAACTATTGAGGACATTCTTGAAACGTGTCTTTGAACAGTGAACATTATACTCCCGGTATTGACCCATCTCTAATTAAAGCACACAATTCTAATTAATGCACGGGTACTCTAATGACTGCACTAACACTGAATGAGAATATCCCAAGTGAGAAACGAAACTCCAGGTCCTCCCGAAAGTCTTTACAAAGTTCCTTACAAGATATGGTTCTTGAGACCAGAGGAGGCTCTAGCTGGTACTCAGCTACTTGCTCTTGAGTGAGTCCTAAAAGTTGCTGATAGTCCGAGACGATGGTTGAACAAGTGGTACGATGGACGTCACCTAGTGTCGCTGGACAGAGGCTGGTCAGCTGCTTCTGTACCAACTCGTCAATGTGAGAGTAGAGTCCAGCCTTGAATGTCTCTGTCTTTGTGTGGTCGAAGTCTTCTTGAGGCTTATATTCATCAGCTACAGCTGGAGAGAGAGAGAGAAGTACATAATAATATATTAGATAATGAGTGGGGGAGATGTGCAAAAAGGAAGAGAAAAAAGGAGGAGAGAGAGAAAGGGAGAAAACATGAAAGCAACTTAAAAGGAAGCTATTATAAGAATACTTACTAGCTATATGTCCCAGTATTCCTTCCATTGCTGCTTGAACTCTTGACTCCAACTCAGCCGCCATTGACTGCGTCTTCTGTATTGATCTCTGATACACAAGATGTCCTTTATCATTCAAATTTTGCTGCTTAGAACAAATCTCCTGCAATTCGCTTTGTATTAAAGAACTAAGCAGAGCATAAAAACAGTAATACATGTTAATGTTTATTTTTACTTTTTCTGAGTTGCTTGTTCGCTTTCAAAGTTAAGAAGTTCTTCCAATTCGAGGACAATCTCTAGACCTCGTGAGTGGTGCTGCTCGAATTTTGTCTTAATCGCCGAATTTGATAAGCACTCTTTAAACTTTAACTCAAATCTCTCAAACTCAAGAAGACGTCCCTTGTAGCCATCGTGAAGTCCCCTGCCTAATACATTAATAATAATGATAATAATAATAATAATAATAACAACAACAACAACAATAAAAAATAATAAAAGAGATGGAAAACTACTGTAGATAATAAAATAATTTCTAATAATTCATTTTACCCAAGTCGCTCTGATTTTCTCTCTGTCTGTTTCTAATCGTTACAACTTCTTTAGCCGAAACGAAATAAACTCTCTCCCTAGCAGTGTCAGGGTCTATGACTGAGAGCTGGTTTGAGAGGAAGGAGATGTCGTTCTCCAAATGTTGCTGCTTGACCTCTTCCACCATCGAGGGTTCTTCTTCAACACAAACGTCCCAGCGATTGTTTAAAATGAATATATTCGGGCGGGAGAGTCTTTCGCTAACTCGATGAAAGAAATTCTTTTCCTGAGAGACAAAAATCAGAATCAAAGATGACTGAATTATGGGTATTAATAATAATGAAACAATGGCCAATATTCTAAGAGTGCTGTTAACAAAAATGTCACCAAACAATATCAGTACAATATGTTCAATGCAGCTGAAATCACTACATTAACTATACCAAAATTATAACAAAATAAACAATATGTACACAAAAAATAATTTGCGCTTTAATTCCAAATTTACTAATTAATTTTTAAAAGCTAAGCGCCAGCTTGTTTGTCCTCTAAGAGCGGAAATGATAGCAGGATCCAAAGACGACTATTGACCCAACAAGAGGTAATTAGGGTACTCTAATTTGCCGGCTGGAAACACTCCCCTGCAGTCCGATCGTAACAAACAGCACAAGACATATTTTTAGTACAGTCAAACCGAAGGCAGTGTACCATTACATCATACGGTTTATTTGGTTAAGAGTTTTCATTTATTTTATTAGTTTTACTTAGCATACGAGAGAAAGACAAAATAATACTGTATTACGTAACAGCATTGGCTTTCTATCTTGAACAAAGCAAAAGGCTAATGGAATTATAGAAATAATGTTTTCATTCAAAATACATACAAAGACTATAGATACACTCTTTCATGTACATGTATGTACATTTAAAGAGGTACACGTAATAGTGAAAAATTAGAGAGATTTCTTCTGATGACTAATTATAACGTCGTAAAGAAGGGCCAAAGGATCAGATCTGTTGTGTCTTACGCTAATAAAATAATACTAATAATATTTCTTACGGCATTCATTAATGTCGACTCAGCATTAGATACGAGGACAAAAACATCAGCGTCTAAACAATGCGAGTTTATCCAGTCATCAACGTCGGGATTCATATCAATACCAGGACTGTGAAAAAATGATAAATAATAATAAAAATAAAAATAATAATAATAATAATAAAATAGTAATAATTATTAATAATAAGATAAGATTAATTACACGTACTGTATGTCAGGCTAGGTTAAGAT